TTCCCCCAGCTCTATGTTCCCCCAGCTCTATGTTCCCCCAGTCAAGTTACATGTTTTGTCATGTTAAAGTGACCAGTGGTAAAGCTATATGTATATATATATATAGTCAATCTGACAAGTGGTCAAGCTCTATATATATATATATGTATATATAGTCAATCTGACAAGTGGTCAAGGGGGTTTAACGCCCCTATCATCTGTCTGTCTGTCTGTCTTACTTTTCCCCAGCAGTAAATGACCATTATTGTGTCGATGTGCTTCTCTTTATCTTAACAAACAAAGTCACTGGTAGGCCCTTCTTCTGTAACTTTCCCTCTGTTGTTTCTGTCTGTCTGTTTTACCTTTTCCCAGGACTGAGGACCATTTTCGTTTCTCGATATGCTTCTCTTTACACCCTCCACCCCCCCTCCCCCAATATAAAAAACGACAAAAACCAAGAGCAGAAAATCCAGACAGAGAAGTAGGTTACGACGGAGAAACGTGAATTAGATCTACCGGGTATTTAAGCCTCTTTATGACCTTTCGGCCATTTTGGGCTCAAAATCTGTGAGGACATCCAACTGTAACTAACAACACATCTGTGGCCTTCCTCTGCCTTATTTTGCCTTCTCTTTCTCCAGTAAGAGCAAGATGGTGGGCGGTTGGCAGGTGCTCAGGTGCGGGTTTTCTCCCTCTTCCCCATCAACAAACATAATCTGTCGTCCTTATCTCGCCTCCTTCTTTTATTTTTGTATTTGTTGCTCTCTTGTAACACCTCTCATCTTCGGCCCTTATTTGACCTAATTGGGTTGCTAGTGCAGTAAAATGTTTACACAAACAAGAGGAAGGTATTCACGTCACGCATATAATGCACAAGTAGTCTTTGATAAGTAAAATAGTATACTAGATATTCCTTTTAACAGATCGCCCAACCGGGGTTAATAACTAGAACTTAGCTTTCAGTACAGTTGGATACTGCAAATACTAGATCCTAGTACTCTGTTTTTCTCCCCGGCTCTCTGAAGCAAACAAAGCCCCATAAAATAACCAACAAAACACATTAAAAAAACCAACATATTTCTCTGCTTTATATCAATAGAGTCAAGGTCATGCTGTTCACATTTCAACATAATATTATTTTCATCCTCCTTGTTATTGAGAAGAGGTATGGAAAAATAATATATGCGTCGGAGCTGTGGAGTGTGAACGAGGACGTTGGGGTAAGAGGGAGAGGGAGGGGGAGGGGG